TTAGATTCAACATGCAACCACAAAACATCTTCAATCACCATATTATTCACCAAGAATCTAAACCCTAACTTTCAACACACAATACTCTCTGATTTGGTCCATATTCAACCACAAATTAAAATGAACTGATCATGCAACATCAACCAACACAACCTTCAATAACTCAATAACTCCACAAAAGCAAGAATCTAGCTAACTTCCCTTACCTCGAGTAGCTCGAAGCCAAGGTATACAAGAAGAATAAGAGAACAAAACTCCACACAAGATCAACAACTTGATTCAAGGTTTCCACCATCTAAATCACAACAACACAACTTAGAAAATAATTGAAAGAAGAAAAGAGGGAGATTGAGAGAAAAGAGAGCTAACGGATCATAGACCTGTTCTCTAAAATCCTTTCTTTAGAAAGTTGAGAAAAAGAGTTTGAGACTCTATTCAAAACAGAAACTTTATATACTATTTCCTCTATGGTCAAATTGGATTTTTGCCCTGAAAACTCTCTCTCAACACCACTAAAACTCTAAAGGGATCCTTAGATCCTTGAGCTTTCTCAACATTGACAACTCAATTTAACAACATAAGATAACTAGGATTAATATAATATTATCACAACTTACAATGTTACAATCACAATATAATACTATAATATATATTTCAAATATCATAAATATATTAAAAATATTAATTAAAGTGTTGGAAATATTACTTGTCCTTCAACAACATACTTTCCCATCTTCATAATAAAGCACCTTGTACAGTAAACTAGAAGATTGAATGATGTTCCTTGATAAAATTATTGGCACTCCAACTTTAAATTTAAGAATGTGATTTGGCAATGCAAAAACATAAATGGTGTCAAAAAATTAAGGAGTGTGAACATCGTCCTATGTGACCACATCATCATAAACAAATATAGAGAATCAAAACTTAAATAAGAGTTTTCTTCCCCAAATATTAATGACAACAAATAATCATCAATAATGTGCACAATGTCATTTTTTTGGTGTTAACATTGTCTTATCTTAAATTTTTTTGGGTCATTCTTGTTGTTTATAAAACATGGATATGCGAGATTCACAATAGATGAAAGGGATTCGTTTTTACTTTTAAGAAGCAAATCATTTGGAATGTGAACATTAATTTTAGTATCATTACTTCCTTCAAAATTTCCAACCCCCACTCTCAATATCCACTTAAAAAAAGTTGTCTTTCATGGGCTTTAGAATCTTTATTATCACTTAACAATCTCATATTTTGTTGTTAATGTTAGAACTTCACAAAAAAACAAAAGATAAGAGAGATTTACTGTAGCATTAACAACTCATTGTTTTGTCCATTTTGAAAAAATAGGGAGAATTTGTCTAAAATCTCCACCCACAACCACCATTCTTCCGCCAAAAGGAATTTTGGAATTTTCCCCCAAACACTAAACCCTAGCCCAAAATTTTGTTAGCCACGTGGTCACCATCTGAACATATTGTTTGATGTCAAAGGTTTTACACAAACTAGACTTAGTAGGGAGAATGATGGCCTAATCCTTAAAATTAAGAGATACACTAGAAGGGGGTTGAATAGTGTCATTCAAAATATTTTTTTTTGTAAATAATAAGGTAAATACGTTATAGTAAGGAATGCATATGAAATGGTGAACAATAAGAACCCAAAATATTTTTATACTTGTCCGTCTCAACCATAAATACTACATTTAGTTATTGATCCAGTCAGATCAAGTTTCCTTAGCTTATTCAAGATACAAGTATTATTTACCAAGATACTTCTAACTCAATCCTAAGTATTGTTCGACTTGTCTCTTCAAGCACCAATGGACACTTATCTCTACAAGGAATGAAAATAAAGACAAATGAATAAAGCTTGTGAGAGACGCTTATAGATTTGCAACGAGATCATGTTCTATAAAAAATACCTATATAAGGAAGCTTGAAGATTATGAAAAAAAGAAAGAGAGAGAACCAATAAAGAGAGCACATTGTAAAAATATATTCATTTTTTCTATAAGCCTTGTACTTATTTGGTTGTACGATATTTTGATAGAAAGACGAAACAACATTGTTATTTGACTTAGTTTTAACTTAGTGTTATTGATTTGAGTTTAAAGAGACTTTACTGTAAAAAAATACTTGATTGTTTGGAGCTCGAAGAAGTTTGACTATAAAATAATAGTTGGTTATTTGAAGCTTTGAGAGGTTTTGTGTTCAAAAAATGTTTGGCTAGTTACTTGAATAGGCAAATTAAGGAATATTTAGGTTAAGTCAGAAGTGATTTATGAAATAATACTTGTATTTTTGTAAAATATAATGAAACTTGATTAAGTTGATCACGAATAGAACATAATCTCGGCAGTTAAGATAAGTTAAGTTAAGTTACTACTCCAATGTATCAAAAAATGTGAACATTTGATTAACACTATTCAACCTTTCCTTTTAGTGTCTTTATTTTCTTCACACTCTACCTCTTTACTTGTTTAGTTTACCTTATTGTATATTATATTATGTTGTTGTATAATCTGTTGTAAAAACAAGTTTACTGAAAAACTTTTTTTTAAGAATAATACTCTAAGTTTAAATATCAAAAAGCTTATCTTCCAAAGAACAATTTTTCATAAAGAACTATCTTTTAAAGTATAAAACTATTTAACCCCTTTATTTTAGCTCAACATTTACTTCAAATCACTCTTACAATTACAATTATAATTGTCCAAAATTGTTTAGATTTTTAATAACTCATTTTTATTTATTTATTTATTATAAGATTGTTATTTTTTTTTAATGAGAAAAAAGGTTTCATAATTTTAATATTTTTCAATATTTTATCTTTTCAAACAATTATGAAATGCATGATAAAGTAAGAATTATTCAATTCATAAAGATACTCATAAATAAAATGTAAAATGTTAAAAAATATAATGGAAATATTAGCATGGACAACCGTGGATATTATTTTTCTCTCTGTTACAATCTTTTATATATATATATATATTTATATATATATATTTATTATATAATCTAATAATTATACACAAAAAAATATTAAAAATTATAGAAGATATAAGAATTTTTGTTTACATTTAAGAGTACAAAGGTTTATTAAAAAGTGTAGACCAAAAGATAGTTACTAAAAAGTATTCCCTTTATAATAAGTACCCTTTATAATAGGTATATATTAGTATGACTAGTGTAACATGTAATCTCTTGTTATTTTGAAAAATAAAAATACCATGCGTGTTTATAATAATGTGGATTGAATTTTAAATGTATATTTTTGAGTATTCAAGCTAAATATCCGAACCATTTTTTGTGTTAATAAACTTATCCATTATTCAAAGATTATAAAAATAATGCAAAAATAATTTTATTTGATATTATATATATATATATATATATAATTTATGAATCAAACAAACATCACTAATTTTACTTCATTCTTATACACAACATTATAGGTAATGTTAGTTTCTTTATGTTCATAAGTTGTCAGTATTTTAAACCATTTCACGAAATAACTATTGACATTGCAACCTATAGTTGCCTTGGAAAAAACTAGTTGAGGAAGATAAAACCCTAAATGTTTTAAAGTGCCTTTGTTAATTGTCATTGCAAAAGAGACGGTCAAAAGAATTTGTCTTCGTTAAATTTTGAAATAAATTTTTGCATCTAAAAAGATGATCTAGGGATATACACTTTTAATACAAATTTGTTTCCAAATATTACTTGTCCTTCAACAACATACTTTCCCATCTTCATAATAAAGCACCTTGTACAGTAAACTAGAAGATTGAATGATGTTCCTTGATAAAATTATTGGCACTCCAACTTTAAATTTAAGAATGTGATTTGGCAATGCAAAAACATAAATGGTGTCAAAACATTACACACACACACACAGAGACACACACACAGACACAGACACACAGAGATATATATTATAATAATGAAGTAATTAAAGAGTTTTATAAAAATAAACAAATACTAAAAAATAATATTTATACACATTCATATACGGTACAAGTCCAATTAATTACACACTCATATAGGTATAAGTATGGTTATTAATATATATATATATATATATTATTTTTTTTATTCTATGTTTTTAGTTAAAATTAAGAATCTCAATAATTTTTATTTAATTAATCTTTTAAAAAATTATGCTCTAATTTTTTAAAAAAGATTATTTGAATTTAGAAAGAACAATAAAAAATATTTGAATAAAAAAAGTAAAAACAAAATTAAAAGAGTTATTAATAAGTCATAAGGACTTAGATGTGATATTAACATATAAATAACATTCAATGACATTTAAATGACGTGTGAATTAAATACACGTTTCAATATATTATGAAATTATAGTGGAGAGGACGTCAAGACATGTTTATAAAATATGAACTGAAGTAATAGTGTTTTATTATACATCCGAGTAATTTTTACATCCCATTTTTCATGTTTATTTTACGGGTGTGTCTAATTGACCTCTAGTGAAAATTCTGCCATACTATACATTACAGGCCAAGAGAATTTTCACTAAATAAATTAAAACCTGATAATAAAACCAGAAAAGAGAATATGAAAAAATGGTTATTTTATTCAAAATAGGAGGAGCCTTTTTTAAGGTAACAATTACACAATTCATCATAAAGAGAAATAATTCAAAAATTGTAACCGTCATTGCAATAAATCAATACTTATTAGCCAATTAAAACAGAGTTACAAAACATAAAATATCAACAGACCATCCCTTAGCGTGCAGACTCCAAGAAACCTTCTATGCTTCATGAATGACTCTTTCTTGAGTGCTTTGGTGAAAATATCAACAACTTGATCTTCACTCCGACAATAAATCAATTTAATGGTTCCATCATTGCTCAGATCTCTTAGAAAATAAATCTTGACATCAATGTGTTTGCTTCTTCCATATAGTACTAGATTCTTTAAAAGTTTGATTGCTGAATTATTGTCACAAAATATCTTAGTAGCGCCATGTTGCTAGAATTTCAACTCTTCAAAGATTCTCCTTAGCCATATGACTTGACAAGCACAAGCAGTTGTTGCAACAAATTCTACATCTGTGCTTGATAAAGTAACAATAGGTTGTTTTTTAGAGAACAAAGAGACAACGCCTGTACCAAGCATGAAAACACACCCCGAAACAGTCTTTCTATCATCTTGATCTCCTGCATAATCACTATCAGTGAACCTCAATAGATTGGACTTTTCACCTTTCTTGTAAAATATTCCAAACTCTCTTGTTCCATGCAAGTAAGGAAGGATTCTTTTAGCAGCAAGTAAATGCATTTCTGTAGGATTCTCCATGTACTTGCTAATCAAACTTATAGAATACATTATATCTGGTCTAGTTGCAGTTAGATACATTAAGCTGCCCACAATCTGTTTGTAAAGTGTACTGTTTATTTTTTTCCTTTCTTGATATTTGCATAACTTAAAACCACACTCAACTGGAGTGTTTGTAGAATTGCAATCATGCATATGAAATCTTTTTAGAATTTCTCCCACATATTTCTTTTGAGAAAGAAAAATTCCACTTTCTGATTGCACTATTTCTATGCCAAGAAAAGTAGTGCATCTTGCCAAGATCAGTCATTTCAAATTCATTCATCATAGACTTCTTGAATTCATCAAACATGACAGTACAATTTCCAGTAAACATAAGATCATCAACGTACAAGCATGCTAGAAGCAATTTTCCTTTTTCTCCAGATTTAACAAACAATGAATGCTCATAAGGACACTTTGTAAAATCAGCTTTTATATATGAAATAAGACTCAATGCGACTATACCAAGCTCGAGGGGCTTGTTTTAGTCCATAAAGAGCCTTTTTTAGTTTGTAAACTTTGTTTTCATTTCCTATTTTCACATAGCCAGGGTGTTGATCAATAAATACCTGTTCCTCCAAGTAACCATGTAAAAATGTTGATTTTACATCTAGTTGAAAAATAGGCCAAGCATTTTGTGCTGCTAATGCAACTACCAACCTGATTGTGTCATTCCTTGCAACTGGTGAAAAAAATTCAGTGTAATCAACCCCATATTGTTGCTTGTAGCCTTTAGCCACCAAACGTGCCTTATACTTATCCACTTCACCATTTTCTTACAATTTTGTTTTGAAAACCCATTTCACTCCTATGGTATTGTGCTCATTTGGAAGATCACACAGCTCCCAAGTATCATTTCTTTCAATGGAATCAATTTCATCATCCATCGCTATTCTCCATTTTTTTTCTTTAACAGCACTTTCAAAGGTTGTTGGGTCACTTTCTAAAAACAAAGCAAAATGAGTAATAGGGTCTTCAATACTCGTTACCTCAAAATCAGACATCCATGTAGGCCTTCTCCTTGCACGTTGAGGTCTCTCTACTTCAGACGTGACTGTTGGAATTTGTTGTTCTTCTAGCTCCATTGGATGTGACTCTTCATCTTCATTATCTCCAGCAAAGTTTGCAAGTATTTGCTTTATTTCATCTATGTTATTTTCCCAAAATCTTTCTTCATTGAAAACAACATCACAACTAATAATGATCTTTTTAGTGATAGGATTATACAATTTATATGCTTTTGATTGATCACTAACACCAAGAAAGATACATTTTCACCTTTGTCATCAAGCTTTGATCTTTTCTTGTCAGGAATATGAGCATAAGCAATGCACCCAAAAATCCTGAAATGGTCCACAATTGGTTTTCTCCCGCTCCATGCCTCCTCTGGTGTCATATTCTTCACAGCAAATGTGGGACTTCTATTTAGAATGTGCACGCTCCAGTTAACAACTTCAGGCCAAAAATCTTTTGAAACACCACTCTTAGTCAAGAGGCTCCATACCATGTTGAGAATGGTTCTATTTTTCCTCTCTAAGACACCATTTTTGTGTGATGTATATGTTGTTGTTAACTCCTTCCATATTCGTGTTTTTCACAAAAAATAGAAAATTCATCTAAACAATACTCTCCACCATGGTCTGTTTGAAGAGACTTAATAATCTTTCCCGATTCAGTTTCAACTCGAGCTTTGAAGCTTTTGAATGAAGAGAGAGCTTCAGATTTTTCCTGCAAAAAATAGACCCAAGTTTTTCTAGAAAAATCATCAGTGAAAGTAATTAAGTAATTTTTACCTCCATTAGAAGAAGGATTTATTGGACCGCAAATATCAGAATGGACCAATTCCAAAAACATTCTTTGCTCTCCATGATTTTCCATTAGGGAATTGAAAACAATGTTGTTTGCTAACAACACATTCTTCACATACATGAGAAGCAACAACAATTTGTGGAAGGCCTGTCACCATGTCTTTTTGTTCAAGGGTATTCAGTCCACTAAATCTCAAATGGCCATAACGATAATGCCACAACCAAGCAGAATCAGTAGTTTTAGCCAACAAACCAGATTGAATGCTTTCAATTTTCAACGGGAATAACCTGTTTGAATTCATGTTTACAACTGCAATAGCACATCAAATAGGATCAATAATTTCACAAGAACCTTTGCTAATAAAAATTTCATAACCTTTTTCTTGTAATTGACCAGCACTTAACAAGTTGCTTTTCAAGTCAGGGATATTAAGCACTTTAAAAATTGTTTATATAAAACCATTCTTGGTTTTTATTTTTATATCACCTTTTTCCCATCACTTTCACAATAGAGCAATCACCAAAGCTCACGGTAGAATGAAAATTTTCATTTAAATATGAGAAAGAGGACTTACTTCCACTCATGTGATTACTACAACCAATATCAACATACCAAATTTATGCCTCGTTGTCTTTTGCATCTTCAACTGCCATCAACAGGGTTTCTACTTCTTTCTCCTCGATAAAATTTGAACTTTCACCCTTTTCTTTAAGATTAGGCAGTCTAGTATAACATTCAGAAGCATAATGACCAAATTTATGACATCTAAAGCATTCTACCTTTGATTTGTTATGATCTCTCCCTCTATCGTTGCCTTGAAATTGGTCATTGTTGCCTCTAGAGTTCTTGTTGAAATCTCTATTTCCACGACCTCCACGCCCTCGTCCTCTACCTCCACCTCTACCCCTTCCTCTAGAGTTGTATGAAGGAGTATTGGTAGAAGCCTTCAATGTTTGTTCCTCCATTGTTGAACTTCTGTTCATCTTTTGTTCATGGACCAACAAAGAACTTTGAAGCTCATCTAGGGAGAGATCATCAATATCATTTGACTCTTCAATTGAGCACACCACATAATCAAACTTTGGTGTTAATGAGCGTGAGATTTTTTCAACAATGGCTATATCATTCTTTTTTTCACCATGAAATCGCATATTGTTAGCAATACCCATGGTCCTTGAATAATAGTCAGTTACAGACTCACCATCCTTCATTTGAAGGACTTCAAAGTCTCTTCTCAAAGCTTGGTGTTGAGCACGTTTAACTCTCGAGGAGCCTTGATATTTTTTTTCATTGAATCCCAAATATCCTTGGAAGTATCTTTATAAAGAATAGTTTCAAGGATAGATCAATCAATGGCTTGAAACAAATAATTCTTGGATTTCAAGTCTTTCAATTTCATCACATCAAGCTCCTTTTGTTGGGCATCTGTAAGAGTTGCACCATCCCCTGGTGTTGCCACACCATCCGCAACAACCTACCAGAACTCCTTGGATCTCAAGAGATTCTTTATCAGCATGCTCCAATGGTCGTAGTGACCATCAAAACGTGGAATGGCTGGCTGCACAAAATTTTCAGAAGTCATTGGTGGGATAATTGTTCTCTTCTCTTTTTTTTTTTTTTTTTTACACTCTTGGACTACTGCCTTTCTCTTAACCTAGCTCTTGATACCACTGATAATAAAATGAGAAAAGAGAATATGAAAAGGTGGTTATTTTATTCAAAATAGGAGGAGTCCTTTTAAAGATAACAATTACATAATTCATCATAAAGAGAAATAATTCAAAAATTATAATCATTATAGCAGTAAAACAATACTTATTAGTCAATTAAAACAGAGTTACAAAACATAAAATATCAACAAAACCTTCATTTTGTAGCCAAATATAATTGAAGAATAAATTTTTCACATCATTTATTTTCATACTCTCATTTATATACACCTAAAAAAGAATTTGATTTATTTTATTGGATAGTAGAAAATTATATATCGAAAAAAATTCATCGAAGAAAAAAATGTTATCATATAGTATATAATATCCATCCATAAAAACTTTCGAAACAACCAAATAATTACGTACTTATATTTACATATTTTTATGGATACAAATTAAGTTACAGTAGTCGTACTCATATATACATATTTTTATGGATACGGATTAAGTTCCGGTTTATCGTAGCTAGAAAGAATTGTACCCTGTTTAACGGTTGTTATAATTTTTTGGTCCATTAATAAACGCTTCATTCAACAAATTTGTTAAAAGTAAAAGTTTTAAATTTGAAAAATAAAAATAAATTTTTCTAAATTTAAAAAATTAAAAACATATTTAATTCTTTTTATTCTATAGTGGGATTCGTGTAACTATTACTAATATATACTACTTATATTCGTCTTTATTAAGATTATATTCATAATTGAGTTTTCTATGCGATTTTTAAGAGTAAATTTTAATTATTATCAAATATTTTATATCAGTGTACGGCTCAGAGATCTATGTGGTCTCGTTCAAGTCTTTGCTGCCCATGGAAAGGCAAAGTATGTAGCTGGCAAATTCTGTTCATAACTCCGCGGGCATGACAACTTTTTTTTTTTTTTTTTTCTTTTCTAAAAATCTATTTTGGTTCCTTATAATAATTATTTGTTTCAATTTAATCACAATTTTATTTTTGGTCTCAATTTGGTCCCTAATAAATTAATTAGTTGCAATGTCGGACTTCCGTCCAAATTATTTAAACAGAGTTAACTGTTAGTCACGTGGATGCCACGTGGAAGCTACGTAGATGTCACGTGGATGTCAAATTTTGTCATGCATCTGGAACTAGAACGACCCGTTCTGAAATCGAAACGGCCCGTTCTGGTTTCACTCATGGTGTGTAAATTTTGCATCCGGAACGGGCCGTTCCGGATGCATTATTTAACACCAATGCGTGCAGAAGAACGGACCGTTTTAAAACTAGAACGGGACATTCTGTCTTCCAAAACAGGTCATTCTGGAATCAGAACGGGCTATTCCAGAATGCCAACCAACATAATGCACCAGTGTAGTTCAAAAATTGAAAGCAAATTATTTACACATACACAATTTTTTTATCTAAAAAATAATATATTTTTAAAAATAAAAATTATATTATAATATATATATATAGATAGATATAAACTATCGTATGTATAGAATATAAATTTCGAGGAGTTATTCATTTATCTGATATTTATCAAACTTTTGTACTTTCTA